GGGTCTCCCGAGGCACTGAAGTCCCATCAGGATGAAATAGTGACAGAACCTCCAAGTTTCTAGTAACTAGTGATCACCATGCCCTTGTATGTAACCCACCATCCCCACCTGCAGCAGAGGCAGCTGTGGTTATGGTAACCCTTGGGACACAGTGTGATCCCCTTCTGTGTGGGGGGGAGTAATAATACATGAATAATATTAATAATGCTAATAGTTGCCAATAATGTTAATTAAGTGCCTATTCTGTACTAGGCACTTTCTTTACATTAGCCCTTTTAATCCTGAGAGGCAGATATTTTCCTCTTTGCTTTGTAAATGTCTAAACAAGCTCAGAGAGATTAAGTGACTTGTCCAAGGTCATATAGTTACTATGTGTGTTTGGGGGGGTTCAGACAAGTGGGGTGGAAGATGAATCCAGGCCCTCCTGCTCCTAAGCCCGTGTCTGTGCTCCCACGCCACCCTGAGGGAAGGGCCGGTGTGGTCAAAGCAGAGGTGTGGCTGCGGGCAGGAGGAAGACTTGCTGACTGAGAGTGGGCAGTGGGCCGTTCCAGGCTGGACTGTTCCTTCCTCTCCCTGGGAAGTCAGGAGGACACTGGGCATGTGGAGTGATTAGCAGCTGGAGGCCTTGGTGCTAAGGGAGATGATGAGTCACGAGGGAACAGGCTGGGGTGACAGTGAGATCTGCTGTGTGGGCCTCCAAAGGCCAGGGTTCTAATAAGGGGGGTACGTGCAACTTGCTGTGTGATGTGGACAAGTGATGTACCTTTCTGGGTATTTGGATGTTTGTACTGTCTTCTCTCATCCTTTTATTTAAGGACTTTGGGATGGGGGGGGGTGGCAGATCACTTCCTCACTTTCTTCCTTCTTGGAAAGAGGTGAAAAGTAGATTCCCTCAGGAGCCACCCACATGAATCCACAGACTAGGGGTTTCCCCAGCCATGTGGTGAGCGAGGGGCACCTGTGCTCAGCTGGGAAAAGGCTGGAAGCCAAGGAAAGAGAACAGATTTCCTGCCCCAGCTCAGTCAGCTGGCCTATCACCTGGTCTCTTGGTGCCTTAGAGCCACAGGATTCCGGGCCAACAGTGGGAGAACCGGCAGCTGTGAGCTGCGGGCCCTGGTGCTGGGCGGTCTGGCAGGTGGTCTCGTTTGGTCAGAGGCCAAGGCGTGGGGGACCACCAGGGTGTGTGAAGTCAAGACTCCCTCCTTCTGGGGAGCACTTTACCAGGGGATAGACAAGGGCTACTTGGTGCCTTCAGGTTACCAGGGTCTGGGCTGGATTCTTGTAGTGGAGAAAGGATTGGCAAAAAATCCAGGGCATGGGAGTCCGAGAGGCTTAATTACAACTGGGCACGTGCCACACTTTCAAGTCACAAGGCCATGGGTGAGTCATTTACACTCAAAGCCTTAGGTTTCACAGCTGAAAAATGGGGGTAATAATGCCTGTCTTGAAGGCTGGTGAGAGAATTAAACGAGGGGATGGAGTGTCGAGTATGGAGAACCTGCCAAAGAGCAGATAACGGATGGCGGCTGCGGTTATTGTTGTTGCTGCTATTAATAATAATAATAGCAAAAAATCATCCGGAACAAGTGGAAGGCAGGCTGGGGAGTCAGACTGTGCTGCCCTTTGGCTGTGTGCCTCTCACCTCTCCGCTTCCTTCAGTGTTAGAGGAGGGGGTGGCACCAGCTGATCTCCGAGGCCCCTCCTGCTCTGACAGCCTCCGGCCAGGAATAGAAGGGGCTGGGGCCCCGGAGGAGTTTAATGACTCAACAGCTAAAGAGGTTAAGCTTTCCCAGAAAAGAGTTTCCATTTGCATTCGATGAACTTAGGACCCAACAAAGGAAGTACTTCCTGGCTGGGAGACCAGGGAGGAAGGATCTGGAGGAATCCTTGTAGCCGGTGAAGACTGTGACTAACCAGGTGAATGACTAATTCAAACCCTGCTGACCTTCAACCAGTCAGGACTGCCCACAAGCGCACTGCAAGCTGGCGTCACTGAGCACATCTTGGCCATGCCAACCCCTGCTGGCTCTGGGCTTCACAGCATATGGAGGCAGAGGAAATAACCAAGAGACTGGCAGGGAAAGAGCACTGGACTTGGAGTCAGAAGCCCCAGCTTCTCACTCTCATTCCCCTGTTCACCAGCTGGGTGACTTTGGGGAAGTCCCTTCCCTCCTTGAGCCACCGAGCCTCCAGCTAACATCTGCCCTGCAACTTCTGGAAGCTGTGAAGGCTGAGACTCAGGAAATGAGATGAAAGTGCATTGTGAGCATGAGTTACTGGAAACTTGCCTCAGGAGTCTCATTTGGGTCCCCAAAGGCATCAGGGCACAGAAGCTGCTGCCCTTGGGCTTGGGGTCAGGATCAGTCAAATATTGGTCCCCTTCCAGGCATCTCATCACAGCCCAGACAGCTTTTCTTAGAGCAGAGCCCCTGAGGACAGCTTCCAAACAAGTGGCATAGCCAGAGTGAGAGATGATAAAAAGCTGGGGATGGGTGAATGGGGCCGGGAGTGGGCAGTGCCAGGTTGGGGCCCCACAGAACCAGGGTGGTCCTTTGATGCTGTCTTTCCTCTTGCCTGGCACTTTATAAATAAATCATCACCAGAACCGCACTCTCTGCCTCTATGCCCAGCTTTTAGCTTCTCTCTTGGTGAGGAATTCAAGCACTTTGGGAACGGAGGGTGATGCTCTTTTATTTCTGCACACCTTAAACCCATCAATAGCATTCTCTGAATGCTCCTGAGTGTCGCTGGGTACTGTGCCCGCCCTGGGAGCAGGGAGTTGGGACCCACAGGGTCCTGCCCACATGGAGGTTAATTATAGCATGGCTAAAGAGACAAAACACATCTCTTAAAATGTAAATAAGCATACAAAAGAGACTACACTCTGTCACCCAGGTCGTTCTGACGTAAGTCCCACAGTTATCCAGAGCAGAGGCCCTGGATGGTCCTGGAGGCCTCAAGGAGGACGTGAGGTTTGAGCAGTGCCCAGGAGATTGGCTGAGATGAGAGAAATAGAAGAAAGAGAAAAAGTCATGCCAGACAGACACTCTGAAGATGTTCTCAGGAACAGTTTGGTGACCTTGGATGGGTCATAAAAGCAAGAAGTGAGAAAGGAAGTCAGACATAGAAATTGAAGCCATGTATCAAAGATCCTAAACTCTAAGATAAGGATCATGGACCAGATTCTGTGGGCAGTGCCACTGAGGGCTTTTGTGAAGGGCATGGGATGGTTGGAGATGTCTTTTGGGAGGAGATTCTTCCTGAAAGCATTGTCCAGGGGAGCTTGCCCTATGAGGAGAATGAGGCTAGAGGCAAAGAGGCCAATTTGGAAGTTACTGTGGACCCGGGGAGTAGTGGACTAAGAAAGCAAGGGGGCACATGGCCATGGGGATGGTGTGTGGGGAGAGGGACAGAGAAGGCCTAAGGGTCTTCAGTTTGATTCTCCAGACAACTGAACAGCTCCTGAAGTCCTGGAAGGTAGAGCAGCAGACCCCAGACCAAACTTAGCCCATCCCCTCCCGGGAAAGCAGGCTCCTCTGGGCAGGTCTGGGTGTGTCCATCCTTCTCTAAGCCCACAGGGTCAGCAGACCCCAAAGGTGTCCCCTCTTGGGCCACATCCACTTCTGGAAAGCCCTATTCTTTCTCTTCTGAGAGAGCAATCCAGAAACCTCACAGTCCCAGTGTAGTCCCCAGAGAGCAACGAAGCCTTGGGATAGAGTTCTGCAGTGGATAGACCGAAGGGACAGTGTCTAGTCCTGGTTTTCACTCTCTTGACTCCTGTTGACTCCTGGGAAAACACTGCTCTTTTGTCACGGGCTATGCCAAGTAGCAGTGAGCCCCTGGGAGCTCAGCCAATAAGAGGATGGTCAGGGAGAGTGAAGAAATGGGCAGAGTGAAGGAAACAGCTCCTGGAGAATTGCAGTTAGCTTTGGGGAAAGGCAGGCTTCTAATCCCAGAACCCAAGCACGTCGGGACTGGGAGGGACTCCTTGAGATCATTTCAGTCAGCCCCTACTCCTTGTCTGGAGGTGAGCCTGAGACCCAGGCAGCGGACAGGACCTGCCCAAGGTCGTACGGCGTGATGGGGCTGGGCTGGAACCACAGTCTTGGGAGCAGGAAAGGTGTTCACTCTTGCCTGGACACTTTCTAATAGATCATCAGGGCCTCACCAGACAGTCCCTTCCTGGATATTCAGTTGTGTGTGTATGTGTGCTCTGTGCCCAGGTTGTGAGAGCCAGTGGCCTCCTACACTGTGGTCTACACCCTGGCTTGTAGAAAAGAACTTGAGCCATTCTTAGGAGAAGACTGTTTTCCTGGGATAGCAGAGAAGAATGTGGACAGAGCAGGATCTGACTTCCAGCACCAGCTCTGTTGTCCTAAGAAAATTAAAGGTGCTTGCTGGCAATGCCCAAACTCCTGGAACTCAACACACACACACACACACACACACACACACACACACACACACACACACTCACCTCCCCACCATCATAGCAGGCGGCACCCATAGCTGCAGCTATAGGTGTTTCAGGAACCCAGCGTGTCCCAAAGTGCCGTGGACTCGCTGGTCTCCTGCAGCCCCAGCTTGTGAGGTGAGCAAGCCCACCCGCAGGGCCGCTGAGCTGTCCTGCGCTCCCGCCCCTCGCACACAGTGCCTTGCTCCAGGGCCTGGGCCGGCCACACCCCTTCGCCCCAACCTCGGATGGTCCTTCCTGCCCCTCTCACACACTTCAGAGTCCCCTGGGGCCCTCTCGCAGCCTGGCAGGGACAAGTCAGGGCTGGCTCGGCTCAAGAGTCAGGTCCAGAGCCAGGAGTCGGAGCCTCCCCCCTCCCCGAGTCCTGTCCCCGCGGAGCAGCCACGCCAGGCTGAACTCGGGCTCTGGGAGCTCGGGGCCGGCGCCGAGACCCTCCCGGGGCGCCCCGCCAGCCCCAGCGGCTGCAGACCAGCCCGGGACACGCCGCCCAGCCTCGGGTGCCGCCCCGCGCCAGGCGCGTAGTTACCGATGGTGGTGATGACCGTGATGGCGAAGTAGAAGGAGCCGGCGAAGCGCCACTGCACGCCGGCCTTGTGCGGCTTGAGGCGCAGCACCACCCGCTCCAGCTCCTCGTAGCCGTCCTGGCTGAGGTTGTAGCGCGCCCGCAGCTCCTGCTGCCGCAGCTCCAGCCGCTGCCGCTCGATCATCTCGGGCTCCGACTCCAGCGCGTCGAAGACCGCGGCGCCCACCAGCAGGTAGGTGAAGGTGCACGCGATGAGCGCCAGCGTGCGCACGTTCTGCCGCTTCATCGTCCCGCCCCGGCCGCCGCCGGCCCCCCGGCGCCCCCGGCCCGCGCCCCGGCCCCGGCCGCCGCTGCTGCTGCCCCGGAGGCGGCCTGGGGCATGGCTGCGCTCCCCGCTCCGCGCGCCCGGCCCCGCGCCGCGCCCCGGGCCGCCGCCAACGCCGCCGCAGCCGCGGAGCTGTCCCTTCAGCACCACCCACCGCCCTCCCCCGCGGCCGCGCCGCCCCCGCCCCCGCCCCCCGCCCCCCGCCGCCCGCGGCCGCCTCCCGCCCGCCCAGCCAAATAAGGGCTGGGGAGCCGCGCCGCGGGAGGGGGCCGGGAGGGGCGGGCGGGAGGAGCGGAGCGGCGGGGAGACCGGCCGGACGGGGAGAGGGAGGGAGGGAGGGAGGGAGAACTAGGCTGAGAAACGCAGAGAACTACAGAGAGAGGAAAAAAGGCGAAGGGGGTGTGACAGGCCGGGAGATAAAGCCAGAGGTAGACTCCTGAGCGCAGGAAAGCAGCAGCAGGCAGCGAAACACACAGGCAGAGAGCAAAAATGGAACCAGAAAAGAGCAGACCCAACCGAGACAGGGAGACCTGACAGCTGGAGACGCACAGATGACACAAGCCCAAAAGCCAGGAAGGGAAAAGGAAGAGGCAGAATGACCCCCTCTCCCCGCCATGCCTCTGTGGCAATCGCAGCGGGCCATGGCTGCAGAGGACCCCGGACCTTGCTGTCCTGCCCCTTGTTATGTAGATGAAGAAACAGGCACAGAGAAGTCAAGTGACGTGCAAGGGAACACAGTGATTAGTGACAACTTTGGGGCTCAGCCAAGATTTCCTCCTCCCAGGCCACACCTCTTCCCCTGCCCCAAGCTGCCAGCTGTCTGAGAAACAGGGAAGCACAGCTGTGAACCTGGCTGCACATGGACCAACATCCCAGGGAAGGCCCTGCGCTTGTAAAATGTGTTCCTCGCTGGGTCATCATGGTTCCTGGAACAGGTTGAGAAAGCACAGGCTGGCAGCCTGGGCCAGTAACACAAAGTCCGGGGGCTTCCTGCTCTGCTCTCCAGTTATTGTGCTGTCCTAGCATCCGTAGCCCCTGACCTGCACCAGGAGGTCAGGCGGGGCTGGGGTTGAGCCGCCAGAGACAGCACCGGATACCACCACAGGCAGGCCAACAGAACCGGGATCTCTTGGGTTGTCAGAAAAGTCACGAAGCATTTTTGCTTGAAAATACATCGTGACTTTTCTGACAACCCAATAGTTGAAACAGAGCAGGTGGCACCTCGATCAGGAGACTTGCTCACAGACTGAAAGAACTAGAAGGACTCCCTATGCATCAGTTTCTTCATTTGTCACCGTGGTAGCAATGGTGGCAAAGAGGGGTGGATGCGGTGGGACCTCAGTTAGGTACCACGGCCCGTCTCTGAGACTTGATGAGGTGCCACGGCAGATGATCCCACATGCCTTGCTCAGCTCCAAACAACTCCAGAGTTGGATGGGCAGAGGGAGCAGAATGATTGGAATGCAAATCCCACTGCCAAGGAGGGTCACAAAGTCCTTCATGGGACCTCGCATGGGTCACAAGGAGGGGCGTGGAAGAGGCGCTAAGGTCCCTGACTATAGCCAGACTCAGAGGCAGCCAGCCAGAGCGGGGGCACCATCAGCTCACGTCCAGAGCTGACCTCTCACTGCCAGACACTGGGCTTCTTTTCCCAGGAGTGCCACCAACACATTCTTTCCTTCAACCATTCACTCAGCAAGTATGTATCAGCATCTGCTGCGTGCCAGGCGAGGCGTATTATATTCATCATCTCTAGTCCTTACTACAGTCCTGAAGGTAGGCAAAGTTATGCCTACTTTATATTGATAGATGGGGAAACTGAGGCTAAAGGCAGTGCAGAGAAGTCAAGTGACATGCAAGGTCATTCAGCTGGGAAATCTCCCAAGCCCATGTTCTCCACATGACTCCTCTAGTTTTTCATCTGTAAATGGGCAGCTAGTTGTACTAATGCTGAACCAACTGTTGAAAGGGATCAAAGAAGACCGCATGTGTGCCGATCCGGCAGCGTAAAGCTCCGAATGACTTCTTCAACCCTAGGACCCAGATCTCTGACTGGAGCCTGCTGGGAGGGCTGTGATTCCTGGCTCTTGACCGCCCCCCACCTCGCCTCCAGCCCCTCAACCCGCCAAGATCATTGATTATTTGAAAAGGCAGACTTTCTGGCTCTGCCCCCTTGCCATGAACTCAGTTTACTGCATCTTCTGGTTCTCTGGAAGAAGAATGTTGTCTTTCTTGGCTTCTCAGGTTTGGGGTAAAGTTTAGGATGTGCACACTGCTGATGTTCACAACCATCCCAGAAGTCAGTTTCCCCCTAACTCGTCCAGATGAACAAGTGGCTCACTAGACCTGGTCTTTGGTGTCAAAACTATGTGTTCAGGATCTTGCTTCTAGTTGCCAAGCCAGACTGCTGAGCAGATGAAAGGTGATATTATGAGTGAAAGAGCTTTGGAAAAGTGAAAATGCTTTCTTTAGGGGCAGGGCATTTATTATTAATTATGACAAAATCTATTTTCACAGCACTTCAGAAATGGAAGGATCTTTAGAGACTGTCTAGCCCAACCCTCTCACGTTACAGGCGAGGAAACTGAGGCTCAAAGAATAGGGTTACCTAAGGTCACATGGTGACTGAAGGGGGCAGGACTCATGGCCCAGGTTTGGGTTTCCCTGTAGCTTTCATTACATAGGGGAGCCCAGGAAGACAGCCTGGGTCTCCTCCTGTCCCTCCTTTTGCTTAAGGAGCAGGAAATGGGAGCTGGGCATGAGGGAGATTCAAGTTGGTAGCAGGCTAGGCTTTGAGTCCTCTTGGTCAACCCTTGACTTGGGTGGTAGCACTGTGTCAAAGACCTATCCCCCTCCCTCCCATTCACGACACCTGGGGCCTGCCCACATGTTCCCACCACATGATGGGGATGCCCCACTCTCCAGGTGGGGCCAAGTGTCAGAAATCACTTCTATCAGTCTTGTCTGTTGTAAAAGAGAAAGACTGTCCCCCTGTGGCTTCTCCATGTTCTCCTAGTCCATTGGTGGCACTAGTGGAGGAAGCTTTGGCCAGACATTTATTCCTGTCCAGTATAGAGAATTCAGGGTGGCAGGTTGGAAGGCTTTGGCTGGGGTCCTGTCTCTGCCACCAGCTTGCTGTGGGACTCGGGGGGCGGAGGGGGCCAGTCACAGATCCCTGGGCCATATTTTGCACATCCACAAGTGGAGGGACTTGGATCAGGACATGTCTATGTTCCCATTATTTATAACATTCCATGACGTTCTTATTCTGCTTCTGCTTCCCTCGTTCTTCTAAGAATCAGGTGAAAGAGTCTAGCCTTTAGCTTGCAAGGAAAAGGACATACTCAGAGTTAGGATAAATGATACATAATGCAATATTATTAGTTGTTGTGTATTTTATGCACTAAAATTTAAATGTATCATTTTCTGGCTTTATCATCCATTCCATTCCTTGCTAAGCTCTAGGTCCAAGCACTTCCATGCTCCACTCCTGACTCTTGTGGCTCCCGTCAATGGAGCCTGGCTCTAGTGCCGTCACAACTGCCAACTAGCTGGGAAGACTTGGCCTCTCTGGGCCTTGGTTTCCTTTTCTACAAGATGGAAGGGCTGATCATCTCAAAAGGTCCCGTCTCACGCTGACATTCTGTGATGTTCATGACAGACCTGGTTCTTTGACCAGCAAAGTTCAATCTACAATAGCCAAGACTATGATCTAAGGCAAAACCCTCTCTGTCAGCCCTCCTTGATCTGCCAGTTTGATTAGAAGATGGGGCAGGTTACAGTGAGGCAGAGAGCAAATGGGCTTGACCCTGAGCCAGATAAGCTAGGGTTCAAATCCCAGCTCTATCAATTACTAAGTGGACCAGAGCCTCCCATGAAACTCTCTTTTTTAAAAAAAAGATTTATTTATTTATGCATACAAGAGCTGGGGTACAGGCCAGAGTTGTGGTTGGTGAGAGGATTCACCAGAGACAGAGTGGGGAACAGAACAAGCGGACTAACTGAAATACACTGTTGAGGGGAGCAGCGGGTGAGTCAGGAGAGGTCTGCTGTGCCATGAAATTCTTGTCCTTGCTACGTAGACCAGACCATAAGTTCCTGCAGGTCCCGGAGAGGGCCTTACTCCTCTTTGAGCTCACAGCCCTTGGTAGCTCTTGGCATAGAATGCGCTCTGTAAATACCCCCCATCTGTTTCAGTAGGCCTGGCTGGGTCAGGTGGGCGGGCAGGGCCTGCGGCCCATGGTTGCCTATGGGATGTCTGGAGTCATCTAAACAAGAAGCCAATGGCAGGCCTGAGAGGGGCGGGGCTGAGGGGGCCTAGGAGCTGCCACAGAGACAGGGACCTGGCTGTGCCTGGGATTGGTGGCCTCAGATAGCAGGTTGATTGGGAGCAGGGTGCTTAGGATATAACTGAGGCATTTCTTGATGTGTCTCTGTTGGGAGAGATACCCGGATTTGGCTGATTCACAGAGCACAACTGGTCCCAGTGCAGCCGCCTTGCCTTTGTCAAGAGACACTATTTGTTTAACATCTCAGCCCAAACTAAACACAAAAGGTAACTGTTAACAAAGGGAGAGGCCCTGGGAGCTGCTGGGGAGCCAGCCCTGCGCTGGGAGGCTGGACACCTGCCCCAGATGAGCTGTGTGAGCCGCCAAGACCCCGATGTGGTCTCCCAGTAAGAGTGAGAAACGGTGGGGTCTTCCTCCCCAAGCTGGGTGCCCACAGAGGAGCCCCTCAGTAGGAGAAAGCCTTAGTCTAGCATCTGCCGCCTGCACATTTGACGGTCCTTCCCCGGGGCGGGCTTCCTCCAGCCGCCTCCTCTGACTCTGAGCACTGTGCTGAGACGAGCCCTCCTGTGTGCCTTTGGAGACACGCAGGGAATTTTCACTGGCACGTATACTCAGAGGTGCCACGGTGCTGAGGCCCACTGCCCGTCACTAAACACTGCCGCTGTCCTCAGC